CCCCCCCCCCTCCCCCCCCCTTTCTAGCAGGTGATAATGCGCAACCCTACGGCACCCCAGCACCTTAGCGCCGGCAGAGGGTGCCATGAAGTTCGACACGTCCAGGCGATGCGGCACGATCACTCTGCGACGGGACTTTGTCGCTTCTGGCACAGAAGCACAAGCACCAGAGGCTCGGGAAGAGGCGCCGGCACCGGAAGTTCCAGGAGGAGTAGGAGCGACCGGCTGCTCGTACCTCTTGAGCACCATCGGCAGCATTATCCTTCGCGAGGGGGGTTGGTTGTTGGAGATGGACGGGAAAAGAAGCGCGTCAGTCACCGTTGTTGCGGGAGATAGGTCGATCACTATTGGTCCCCTCTGTGGTGGTAGCAGCTTCACCAAAGCAAGCTGCGTGCCTCGCGATGACGGTGGAAGCAGCAGCAGCGGCAGCAGCGAGGGAGCCTGTGCGTTGGAAGCAGCGAACGTGTAAGCAGCTGCAGCGCCAGCAGCAGCGCTGTGTCTACCCCCTGTGTGATAATGCTTTGGACGTTGATTCGTGTGTGTGTGGCAGCGGGTCTAAGAAACCGCACAAAAAACAAGCGAGGTCACACAGATAACAGCAGCAACAGCAACAACCGCACAAGAGCAAGTAGGACCTACACTATCACGAAGTCGTGGGACTTGCCATAGGCTGCATAAGGCACCACGCCACCTGGAACGATTTTCAAAGCTTCACTACTTCACGACGACGAGGATGCTGACATCAAAGGATACGATGTCGGAAAGCTCTCGACGATACGGTTCCAACGCCGCCATTTTCATCACCGTCATTGCCTTTCCTGTCAAGTAATCGAGCTGTGAAGATCGGACCAGGTGTGACATCACGCAACCTACGGCATGTGAAGGAGGTCTCTCTCTCTCTCACTCACTCACGTATCGAAGTGCTTATCGTTGGAAGGGTCGCTATCCCCATCGTGTTCTCCTGAGAGAGCGTAGAAGGGAAGCATGGACACCATGCGCCACGCGTCCACAGGCTGGATGGAGTCATCGCGGACAGACAAGAGGAACAGGGGGAGAGGGGGGCCAGCATGAACCGAACAGCAGTAGAGGATGCCGCATAAGGAAGGTCGAAAAATGAGGGAAACGTTCCAGTAGCTCGTAAAAAAGAGCGACGAAGGGTACTAGGTGGGGTGTTTTCGCTCTCTGTCGTTACACCCTGCCAAAGGGCGCCCCTGTCGATATCCAAGCGATGCCAAAACTATACTACTTGTTTCCTTCAACGTTCTGGACGGGCAATCACTAAATTTTCAAGACCACGCAGGTGACTTGACGGCAACCGCGTCAAACGCGAACCAAAGCAAAAGCAGCTAATGGCGAACACCCTACAAAACATGCAGAGTTGTCGCACATCCTGTATGTAAATTGCAAAGAGACACGCTAAGTTCTTCGAATTGAAAAAACAACGGCTGCTATTCTATGCATACAACAAAGGCTTTTATCTTCCAATTGTTTGCACATCCGCGAAACAAGAGACAAAAAAGACACACACAACACGCACGCACGTCTTTTCACCGGTCAGCCGCATAGCGCGGTCGATGCCAACATTAACAATCACACACACGCATACGCCAAGAAGATTTGAGTTATTTAGCACGCCGCCGCCGCCGACAACGCTGCCCCACCTGGCTCCCCTTCTCCCCAGAGACGGAACGCCGAAGACCCTCCACACGGTTGTCGTGGAAGTTGTGCATCAGGATCTGCTCCAGCGTTACCGCCGCCCCGACCCCTCCGCTGTCCTTGCCCTTGCCCCTGCGTGTAACTGACGGTGACCTTGCTGTGGCCTGCTGCTGCTGCCCCTGTTGTTGTTGCTGCATGGCTGGCGTAGATGATGATGCGGGATCCGCGTTGGAGTTGGTGGAGAGAAAAGGAGCTGCGGTTGCGTCTCGGGTGGGCGATAGGGACTTGGGTCTCTTCCGGTCCTCTTTTTTTTTTATTGCCGTGGTGGGGGTTCCGTGGTTTGATGGCAGGGGGGTGTCGACGAAGGAGAGCAAGCGACGAGAAGGGGGAGGGTGTCATGTACACGAAATCAGCGAATCTTGGGTGCTATGGGAGGGAATTCTGTACCGTTACCCCAGGCGGGTATCGAAGGTGTACTTGCATGCGTACATCGCAAGTACCCAAGACGTGGGTGCATGTTTTGAGCTGTTCAGAGCGATTACTGTGCTTCCAAAGGCCAACTTTATCCGACAACAACAACAACAACAACAACAACAACAACAACAACAACAACAACAACAACAACAACAACAACAACAACAACAACAACAACAACAACAACATCAACAACAACAACAACGGCCATGACACTCTACCAAGCCCCCCCCCTCACCGGTCTCCTTCTCGGCCTCCGGAAGCGCTAGGAACAGCGCCCGCTCCGTCGAAATCCTAGAATCCCCGGCGTCGACGTTACCCCCGTGGAAGAGGGCCTCGCTAAGGGGTAGCGCGGGGCACCGCAGAAGGCAGACCAGGAAGGTGAATAGCTCCGTCACGTCCTCCTGGGTGGAGGCTCCACCCTGCCACCCACTTTTTTATTGTCGTTGTTCAGAGCAGGATGGTGAAGAGGGGTGGCTTATGTCCGCAGAAGTAATACGGGTCGGAAAAACACTTGAGAGGTATTTTGCGCGGGGGGCTATCGTTCGGAACAAGATGGTTAAGAGAGTTATTCTACTGGTAAGTTATCATCGTGAAAACAATCTGCTCCCCCCTGCCATTCACTGTTGTTTGTGTTCGTTTGTTTGTTGGTCGTTCGGAGCAACATGGTAAAAGAGAAGCTATTGTCGCCAAAACAATCAGCTCCCTCCTGCCATTCACGTATTTTTTTCGTTGCTTGTTAATCTTGTCTTTCAGAGCAAGATGTTCAAGGAGAGGATACTATCGCGAAAACAACACCGGTCAGAAAAGGACAACTTAACATGTGTTCTGTGCGTGTGTGGGGGACCCTTTTCTTCAGGAAAGCGTACGGGGGACGTCTTGATGAAGTGCTGCATTTTCAGAGAGTAGAGTACAAGTACAGAATTGCTTTCAAGACACCGCTAGTTGTGCGTACACCCGTTAAGAACGCACAACCAAGACGAATCGCTGATCCAGTATCAAGCACACCAGCAACAACAACAACAACAACAACAACAACGACAACAAGCCATTTTGTCCGCGCTCACCATCTCCTGAGGTGAGTCCGTATGAGGTTAGAGTGTTCCCGCGGAACCGTCGCACCTTCCCTCAGTTGGTTGACCAAGAACCGAAGGTGCTTCTGCAATAGCTTCACCTGGCCGTTACAAATCCAAGGAACGAAATGCGAGCCAAGATGTGTCTCATATTTCATTCAAATGAGGCAACAACTCAAAGCTCTCTCACGAAATCCTACTACTTGGAGGTACTGCTGTAGCTTGGATTTTCCGAAAATGTATATATTGATCGACGATAGCTCCTTGCATCTACCATGCTACACCGTCGAAGGGTCCGCTGCTGCTTAAATAACGTTCTGCGGTTTCAGCCGCCCTGAGACACTGAGACTGACGCCCACTCGTTGGCTAACGCCGTCGGTGGTCGATAAACACACACAATCAACTACGACATCTCTCTCTGATGCTTGGGAAATCAATTGTAGAAACAGGGCTAGCAACCCGCTAAACGCTATGAATTCACTCCTAATGTATCCGAGACCATTCTCTATGGATATAGATGGATGTATTGTGTGATGTTAAGAAAAAAAAAGTAAACACACACGTGCCTCGGGGGGATCGGTGGACGGCAGCGGCTTGAACAGCAGCCAATCGAACGCGTCCAAGGTGGCGAACATGGCGAACAGAAGGCTGGACAGACAGGCAACCGTCACCACATTACCAAAGGGAAACGAGCGAGCGGAGGAATGGACCATCCAATGCGTGTGGGTGGGCACGGCAGTCTCGTAGCAATGGCATTGTGACGAGTGGCTGTGTGGGAGCCTGCGTGTTGCGTCCCTGCCCTGTTTGCGACCAATTAATATTCGCTGGGATGGGCTAACATGAGAAACAACAACGTCGACATCAGCAACAAGTTCTCGATCCGCCGCAATAGATGGCCTGGCGGTAGCACGGACTATTGTAGTGGCGACTGCAAAACCAATATGTTCCGCGTTTGGTGAGAACTAGGACGGAGGAAAGCTGTCTGGTACCAATACCGCGGCTGCTGCGGAACAGACAATCAAGATACCACCCTATTCGATCAAATACCACGGCAAAAACCGCAGAGGCAACGGCAAATTCATCCAGGGGGGGCACTCTTCTCGACGAGACTATTAATGCCCACGCCACGAACGACAATGACGCCCTCCCCCGAGAGCACTCCCCCCCCCCCCCCCCC